TGTTTGTTTGTCAGGAGTAAAGCATGGTTCTGCCTCTCATCGCACACAGGATTTCATATTTGATAGGACAAGCTCCTCCATTATGTAAGAGGCTCAATCAAGAGAGACAGACAGCAGATAACATATTAAAGCAGGCCAACTGTCTGCTGCTCTGCACGGCACTGTTGCACTTAATGAAATCATGTGTGTGTTCGACCCTGTCAGCACAAAACATGATGAAGAGAGGCAGCAAGGATGAGATAGAAACCGCAAATAACTGAAATGAGCTGGGATTTCCAAAAGCATGGTAAGCCATTGGTCTCTATGATCTCTATGGCCTCTATGATCCAAAAAAATGTACTCATCCTCAGGCCATCCAAGATCATCAGATTTATCAGAATAGATTTGGAGAAATTTAGCATTACATCGTGCGAATAAGCTTTCTGATATCAGCATAGTCAGCTGGTGCATGGGCGTTGGAAACCGTGAGATGTGATGAGTGAAATGATTCCTAAGACTTCAGGCATTACTGTTTAGAGATCTTTACCATATATAAATAACAGCCATTATCTCAAAATAAACCCCAACAGGGTGATCAGGATCCCAGCACAAACCAACTGAACATTACCCAACCTAATATGGCTACGCTTCAAAAAATCAAATCAAATAATAAATAAATAATGGGCATGAAATTAGTTTAGTTTTTGAAAACAGAAAGAAGCAATGATTGAAATCGGTTGGCTGGTATGAGAGTCGGTTTTACAAAGGAGTAGAGTAGCAAGAGCTGTGTAATATCTATCTATCTATCTATCTATCTGTCTATCTGTCTGTCTGTCTGTCTGTCTATCTATCTATCTATCTATCTATCTATCTATCTATATTTCATATTAAATATTATATTAAATCTATATTTAAGTTGTAAATAAAAGCAAGATTATTGGAATATGTTGTTCCAGAAAATACTATTTCTGCCTTACTTGCCATATCGTTGTAATTACTTGTGAAAATGTACTACCAATTTCTGAGTTTCAGTGTTATTTTATTGTTAGTAAAACACATTTATTCAGGATTGTGTATTTTCCAGTGTATTTACATGGAACCCTAAAGTACCATATTACTAACTTGGTACTTTTTTGGGTAACACTTTATTTTAAGGTGTCCTTGTTACACATGTTACATGTACTTACTATTGTAATAACAATTAATTATACATAATTACATGCAAGTAACCCTAAGCCAAACCCTAATCCTAACCCTAACCATATAGTAAGTACATGTAGTTAATTAATATTATTCAAATATCATTTAAATGTATAGTTACACTGTAACAAGGACACTTTAAAATAAAGTGTAATCCTTTTTTGTTATAGCGTTTACAAAAACATTTAGTTATAACTGTGATGTTAGTCTAGTGCTCTCCAGTATGTATGTCCTTTAGCCCTGTGAATCGATTAACTTCTATTTGTTTGTTTGTTTGTCAGGAGTAAAGCATGGTTCTGCCTCTCATCGCACACAGGATTTCATATTTGATAGGACAAGCTCCTCCATTATGTAAGAGGCTCAATCAAGAGAGACAGACAGCAGATAACATATTAAAGCAGGCCAACTGTCTGCTGCTCTGCACGGCACTGTTGCACTTAATGAAATCATGTGTGTGTTCGACCCTGTCAGCACAAAACATGATGAAGAGAGGCAGCAAGGATGAGATAGAAACCGCAAATAACTGAAATGAGCTGGGATTTCCAAAAGCATGGTAAGCCATTGGTCTCTATGATCTCTATGGCCTCTATGATCCAAAAAAATGTACTCATCCTCAGGCCATCCAAGATCATCAGATTTATCAGAATAGATTTGGAGAAATTTAGCATTACATCACTCACTTACCAATGGATCCTTTGCAGTGAATGGGTGCCATCAGAATGAGAGTTCAAACAGCTGATAAAAACATTACAATAATAATCCACAAGTAATCCACACCACTCTAGTCCATCAATTAACGTAGTGTGCAGTGGAAAGCTGCATGTTAGTAAGAAACAAGTTCATCATTAAGGTGTTTTTAACTTTAGACTAATGCTTCTGGCTAAAATATGAGGATTCTTTCTACAGTGAAAAGGTTGTCTCATCTGAATAAGGAGTGAAATATGCACAGATCAAGCACTGTTTACAAGTGAAAACAGTCCAAAAAAGTTATAAATGAATGGGGATTTTTATTTGAGAGGTCAACAGGGGATGGATTTTATTGAACATTATTGTGATGTTTTTTTTTATCAGCTGTTTGGACCTTCATTCTGACGGCACCCATTCACTGCAGAGGATCCATTGATGAGCAAGTGATGAAATTATCAATTTATCCAAATCTGTTTCCATGAAGAAACAAACTCATCTACATCTTGGATGGCCTGAGGGTGAGTAAATTTTCAGCAAACTTTCCTTTTCAGATGATCTATTTCTTTAAGAGGAGAACTGAACGGGGATAAATACTGAGTATATGTATGTAGAAAGTTAAAGGGGTGGTTCACTTGTTTTTTTCTTTCTAGGCTTGATTGTGTTTATGGGGTGCAGTCTAACATACTGTATGTTAATGCTTCGTTTTTTAAAAAACACATTATTTTCCACACAATTTACCTTTATTCCACACCGCTCTGTCCCTTCTCTGAGAAACGCGCTGATCATTTTCTTCTTTTATGAAGCCCCGCCCTCAGAAATAGGCGATGGGCTCTGATTGGTTAACTAGCCCAGTGTGTTGTGATTGGCTAAACCGCCTCTAGTGCATCACGCCCCTCACCTCAACGGCATGTGCTCCGGCTGTATTGTAAACAACGGCGTAGTTAATATCGCTTATCAGTTTGAGCCCGATTGAGAAGCAGAGGATATTATTGAAGAGGATCGTGCAGAACCTGTGCAAGCATGGCTTTTAATGGTAGGCTTATGTTTTTTGTTTGTTGTTGTCTCACACTTTTAGATACGCTGTTATTTGTAAATGCTACTGCTTATGTTAGCTTTTAATATACAGTTTTATCCTGATTAAAGCTTTAACACAGTACGACAACAGCATGTTTAACGCTTCTCATAGCTATGTGAAAATAAGTGTATAATTGGAACAGTTAATTGTTGGAGCTGAGCTGAATGAGAGAGAGAGAGAGAGAGATGCAGAGCGTGTGCAGAGCAGGGGGACGCGAGGAACAGTATTGAGAACCGCGGCTTTAGAACATTGATTTTGAAACCTGTGAATCCATTAGAATCGTTAGAAGACAGAATCGCGATTCATATATGAATAGATTTTTACGTGCACCTCTAGTTTTCTCTTCCTCTTCTCTAAAGCAGCATGGCCTCACTCCCCTTGCTGCCTTTTCCCGAGGGCGGGGTTTTCTCTTTTTTTGTGAGAAAAAAGCCACTCCTCAAGAAAGGCCACATGCAGTCATGACTGAACTTTGCCAAAACGCACCTTGAAGATTCTGAGGCAGATGAGACTAAAATTGAATTATTTGGCCTCAACACCAAATGAAATGTCTGGAGGAAATCCAATACAGCTCACCATCCAAATAACAGCATTCTTGCAGTAAAGCATGGTGGTAATATACTGTTATGGGGGTGTTTCTCTGCAGCAGGGACTGGAGCACCTGTCAGGATAGAAGGAAAAATGGATGGGGCATTTCTGCTGCCCTCTGACAGAATGTTGTCAATGGGAAGAAGGTTTACCTTCCAACAAGACAAAGACCCAAAGCACACAGTGGTTGAAGAAGAAAAGGGTGAATGTCCTTGCATGGTCTAGTCAGAGCCCAGACTTAAACCCCACTGAAAATCTGTGGAATGACTTGAAGACTGCAGTCCACAAACAATCACCATCAAATTTAACTGAACTTGAGCAGCTCTGCAAAGAGGAGTGGGCAAATATTGCCAAGTCTAGATGTGTAAAGTTAGTAGAGACAGAGACATATCCCAACAGATGTTATTTTATTGTTAGTAAAACACATTTATTCAGGATTGTGTATTTTCCAGTGTATTTACATGGAACCCTAAAGTACCATATTACTAACTTGGTACTTTTTTGGGTAACACTTTATTTTAAGGTGTCCTTGTTACACATGTTACATGTACTTACTATTGTAATAACAATTAATTATACATAATTACATGCAAGTAACCCTAAGCCAAACCCTAATCCTAACCCTAACCATATAGTAAGTACATGTAGTTAATTAATATTATTCAAATATCATTTAAATGTATAGTTACACTGTAACAAGGACACTTTAAAATAAAGTGTAATCCTTTTTTGTTATAGCGTTTACAAAAACATTTAGTTATAACTGTGATGTTAGTCTAGTGCTCTCCAGTATGTATGTCCTTTAGCCCTGTGAATCGATTAACTTCTATTTGTTTGTTTGTTTGTCAGGAGTAAAGCATGGTTCTGCCTCTCATCGCACACAGGATTTCATATTTGATAGGACAAGCTCCTCCATTATGTAAGAGGCTCAATCAAGAGAGACAGACAGCAGATAACATATTAAAGCAGGCCAACTGTCTGCTGCTCTGCACGGCACTGTTGCACTTAATGAAATCATGTGTGTGTTCGACCCTGTCAGCACAAAACATGATGAAGAGAGGCAGCAAGGATGAGATAGAAACCGCAAATAACTGAAATGAGCTGGGATTTCCAAAAGCATGGTAAGCCATTGGTCTCTATGATCTCTATGGCCTCTATGATCCAAAAAAATGTACTCATCCTCAGGCCATCCAAGATCATCAGATTTATCAGAATAGATTTGGAGAAATTTAGCATTACATCACTCACTTACCAATGGATCCTTTGCAGTGAATGGGTGCCATCAGAATGAGAGTTCAAACAGCTGATAAAAACATTACAATAATAATCCACAAGTAATCCACACCACTCTAGTCCATCAATTAACGTAGTGTGCAGTGGAAAGCTGCATGTTAGTAAGAAACAAGTTCATCATTAAGGTGTTTTTAACTTTAGACTAATGCTTCTGGCTAAAATATGAGGATTCTTTCTACAGTGAAAAGGTTGTCTCATCTGAATAAGGAGTGAAATATGCACGGATCAAGCACTGTTTACAAGTGAAAACAGTCCAAAAAAGTTATAAATGAATGGGGATTTTTATTTGAGAGGTCAACAGGGGATGGATTTTATTGAACATTATTGTGATGTTTTTTTTATCAGCTGTTTGGACCTTCATTCTGACGGCACCCATTCACTGCAGAGGATCCATTGATGAGCAAGTGATGAAATTATCAATTTATCCAAATCTGTTTCCATGAAGAAACAAACTCATCTACATCTTGGATGGCCTGAGGGTGAGTAAATTTTCAGCAAACTTTCCTTTTCAGATGATCTATTTCTTTAAGAGGAGAACTGAACGGGGATAAATACTGAGTATATGTATGTAGAAAGTTAAAGGGGTGGTTCACTTGTTTTTTTCTTTCTAGGCTTGATTGTGTTTATGGGGTGCAGTCTAACATACTGTATGTTAATGCTTCGTTTTTTAAAAAACACATTATTTTCCACACAATTTACCTTTATTCCACACCGCTCTGTCCCTTCTCTGAGAAACGCGCTGATCATTTTCTTCTTTTATGAAGCCCCGCCCTCAGAAATAGGCGATGGGCTCTGATTGGTTAACTAGCCCAGTGTGTTGTGATTGGCTAAACCGCCTCTAGTGCATCACGCCCCTCACCTCAACGGCATGTGCTCCGGCTGTATTGTAAACAACGGCGTAGTTAATATCGCTTATCAGTTTGAGCCCGATTGAGAAGCAGCCTGTGAATCCATTAGAATCGTTAGAAGACAGAATCGCGATTCATATATGAATAGATTTTTACGTGCACCTCTAGTTTTCTCTTCCTCTTCTCTAAAGCAGCATGGCCTCACTCCCCTTGCTGCCTTTTCCCGAGGGCGGGGTTTTCTCTTTTTTTGTGAGAAAAAAGCCACTCCTCAAGAAAGGCCACATGCAGTCATGACTGAACTTTGCCAAAACGCACCTTGAAGATTCTGAGGCAGATGAGACTAAAATTGAATTATTTGGCCTCAACACCAAATGAAATGTCTGGAGGAAATCCAATACAGCTCACCATCCAAATAACAGCATTCTTGCAGTAAAGCATGGTGGTAATATACTGTTATGGGGGTGTTTCTCTGCAGCAGGGACTGGAGCACCTGTCAGGATAGAAGGAAAAATGGATGGGGCATTTCTGCTGCCCTCTGACAGAATGTTGTCAATGGGAAGAAGGTTTACCTTCCAACAAGACAAAGACCCAAAGCACACAGTGGTTGAAGAAGAAAAGGGTGAATGTCCTTGCATGGTCTAGTCAGAGCCCAGACTTAAACCCCACTGAAAATCTGTGGAATGACTTGAAGACTGCAGTCCACAAACAATCACCATCAAATTTAACTGAACTTGAGCAGCTCTGCAAAGAGGAGTGGGCAAATATTGCCAAGTCTAGATGTGTAAAGTTAGTAGAGACAGAGACATATCCCAACAGATTAAAGGCTGTAATTAAAGCAAAAGGTGGTTCAACAAAATACTGACACATGTGTCTGATACTTTTTCCAACTCAGTGATTCTGAGGACTATTATTCTGCTGCATGATACTGCAGAAGAACTGACGACGGCACGGTTTGATCTTTGGCTGACCAATCAGCAGAAAGGGGCGTTTAATTCCCGGCCACATGTAGAAATCGAATATTCAAGCTCTTTATTAATTTTTCCACCCATTAACGAAAAACAAAAATTTAAGCTGAATTCTCGTTTTTCGGGAAAAAAACAAAAAAACGAAAAAGGAGCCGTTTTCTCATTTTTCTACTTTTAATATTAAATCAAAAAACGAATGATCGAATGATACACGGACTATCTAGCATCCAGTCTGGCTTCATTCTGGTAAAAAATACACCTGCTTTCCACGGTCCAATCAAATCCTAAATACTCTGTTTTGCTGAAAAATATTATATTACAGAAGTAAAAATCACTTTAAATCACTGAAAATTGTCCACTGTGTTCAGAATGTGATATAAAACAGAAAGATGCACAGTCATCAAAATATCTAAAACATTCCTGTCCTCATATCCCACTCACTCCCACAAATACACACACAACAAAAATACACACAGGTACCACCCAACACATTCCACAAGCACATCTCTCCCCGCTGCCCATGTCTGCATCTCTCTGGATGCATTCCACTTGTGCAGTGAGACAGTCAGCAAGAGGGCACCATGTCCTGTGCCAGCGATGCTATCAGCTGTTCACCTCTGTCTCACAAAACCTGTCCTGAGCCCTGCCCTTACGGCTGCAGCCAGTCTCACACGTGCAGTCACAGGGGATCTCATTCATGTTTGTACATAAAGTGTATGTAATATCAACACTTGACAGCATCTAGAATGCAAACCCATTTATATATGTATATTTATAAATAACCTAAAAACTAAATAGTCAGAGAAATATATTTTTAAAAGATCTTTAAATGTTTTTAAATAATGAAATATTTCAAAATGTTATTTTTTAAAAATGTTTATTTATACAGTAAATATTATCCACATACATACAGTATACCCACGTAAAGCAAATTATAGCAATATATAACTATTGCTTATATTGTTGCAAAATGTAAACAATATTATCACCCAGCTCTAATCTGCTTAATTTGACTGTAAGGCATAACAATATTAAGAGATTATAAACATTAACATCATGATTTTCTCTGAATCTGTTTGTAAAATGCGCTATTCAAATAAATTATGAAGAAATATTATAAAGTCATTTGCACTCTTATTATCTCTTATTATCATCAAACCTGAACAAATATAAAATGCAGGTGAAACAAATGCAACATTGAGATATATTCAACAGCTGATAGACAGATACATGTCTCCACCCTAGATTTTTCTATAATCATGTGTGCATCATAATACAAAAGAAAAGATCTATTGCTACAACTGAAGTGTTTTAATAAAACATTATTTTATGGAAATTTGCGTATTATATTCATGTACTTATTTTACAATCGCACAAAACTATATGCAAACAAAAACCGAAAAGAAAATTGGTTTCAAAATCCACCAATGGCAGCGCAGGAACCACCAGCATGCTAATATGATAGTTGAAATAAACTTAATTTAACAACTCTAGTTTATTTCTAGTTTAAATCTTCAAAATGTTTCTCTGGTCCTAGTCATTAAATGTAGCACTAAATACTTGACTTGTGGTTTTAATCCTTTAACTGACACAACCATGATTGAAAATGCCTGTATGGTTTACAAAAGCTTTCTAATAAAATGTCAAACTAAAATTCCATAAATTCTATAAACCAAAGGCTTTGCTATTCATGCAGTTGTTCATGTTAAAGGTTTATGTTTTAGATGCCGTCAACTGTTGTACATATGAAAATGCAGATGTGTTAGAACCACAATTTACCTACTAATACTAAAGAAATCACAATGGCATTTAATGGTGGCTTTTGGCTGTATTATAAATCTACAAGAACAAGCACAATTCTGTGTGTTTCAAAAATCAGTTGAAGATGGAGCAGATGAAGCTGTGAAATGGTTCTGGAAAATGAAAATATGTATGGATATCATTGTCTATCATTGTCTTGCACTGTGTGATAAGTGTGATTGAGGTTTTGTCAGAGGGTTTACATCTTCGCTGTTAGAAATGGCTGTTGTGTGTGTGTGTGTGTCGAGCTGCTGTAGAGAACATAGGTCATGCTAGTTTTAGCGAGAAGGCAGCAGTGTTTAATAATTCAGTGGCTGTCATTCAGAGCAGGCGTCAGCCATTTTACCCACAGTTCATTCACGAGAGAGACGGTTTGTTCCCTTAGCCTCTGTTGACACAGATCACCTAGTCCTTTTCACAGGACATGTTGCAAAGATCATTATTAACAATGTTAGAAACTGGCCAATTGAGAGCAATTAGCTTTGAAAGGTTAGCACTAGCAGTGTGACATAAACAAGCCATTAAATGAATCTTAATTATCACAAAACATTGGCTAATCATTGAATTCAACTTATTTTACCACCACAACATGTATTTATCTACACAGCTATGCAAAATAATCAATGACCCCAAAAAAGCCCTTGTCAAAACATTGTAAAGGAATGGCAATTTCTGCTATTAATGCTATTTTTTATTCTAAATAAATGCTAGGATTTCTATCATATTTTGGAAGCAGTCATAAATGGATGAAAACAGGAAAATGTAATATAGGACTGGATAGTCTGGAGCTGTTTCTTGAGGAATACATTGGAAAATAGAAATGTCATTTTTTAATTGAGAGAGAGAGAGAGAGTGAGTCTAAGAGTTCTAAGACAGGGAGTCAGCTGTCTTAACCGTGGCTTGTGTACTGCAAACACATATTAATCACTGTGTCTGTCACGCGACTCTGTTCCCGTTTCGGGCTCTGTCTTTACATTTATTTTGAAAGATTAAGCTTGCGATTATGGTAAGGGGCGTTACATTTCCGACGAGTGCTTGCGGTGTTTGGCCAATCACAATGCACTGGGTCAGCTGGCCAATCAGAGCAGACTGCGCTTGTCGGAAGGAGGGACTTTGTAGAAAACGAAGCGTTTGAGAGAGGCGGGACATAGAGGACCTACAATAATGTACAGTATTTGAAAAATAATGTGTTTTTTGAACATTAAAGCATGTCAACATATTCTGTTACACCAAATACACAAAATAATGATCTTTAAAAAAGCATCATATGACCCCTTTAAGAGGGTTTTGAAGGCTTCATTCACCCCAGTCAAGTGACACTAATAACAAGTACCAATAACATTTATCAGTACAAAGTAATTATTTTGGGCTGATGTTGGCATGACCTCAGGTGCACAGAAACAGATTAATCTGCTTTCCTCCTTTGAGATATTGATGGACAGTATCGATTGCTGAATCTTCATTGTGACAGGAGGTTGAATCTACAGTACAGGAAGCAAACAGGGACTTCTGGGTGTTTGGTTGAGGTTTTTGACACTTATTAGTATTCTGGGAGTGTGTGCATCTGTGTTAGCAGTTTTTAGTGCAGTGTCGTGGGAGGGGTGCGCCAGCAGCAACGGTTATGCAACCA